TTTATTTATTTATTTATTTATTTATTTATTTATTTATTTATGTATATTTATTTGATGTATGCGAATGTATTCTATAAAATATTTTATATTTATACAATAAAAACTGTTTTTTAAATTTTCAGATATCTTAAAATAACACCAGAAAATAGGCACGAATATGTAAGATTGGCGTTAGATTATAGACTCCACGAATTTGATGCTCAAGTAGCAGCGGTACGAGAAGGCTTATCGAAAGTCGTTCCTGTGCCTCTATTGGCATTATTTAGCGGTGCTGAACTTGAAACGATGGTTTGCGGTAGTCCAGACATACCGCTTAATTTATTAAAATCTGTTGCAACATATAAAGGTATATGTTTGATATTGCAAATGTGTTACATCGATGTACTTATATAGGTGATAGTTTTAAAATAAGAAAAATTGTCTTTTGTAGGTATTGAAGCAATGGCACCACTTGTTCAGTGGTTCTGGGAAGTCATGGATGAATTTTCCAACCCAGAACGATCGCTTTTCCTTCGTTTTGTTTGGGGCAGAACACGTCTGCCGCGCACAATCGCAGATTTTAGAGGCAGAGACTTTGTTTTACAAGTAAGAAGCCATTTATGTATTATTTCTTCAGTAAGAAACATTAAAAGGCAGTTACTGTATACCATGCCGTTTTCTTGTCAGGTAATGGATAAATACAATCCACCGGACCAGTTTCTTCCTGAAAGCTACACTTGCTTTTTCCTTCTGAAAATGCCACGTTATTCGTGCAAAGCAGTTCTACGACAAAAACTGAAATATGCGATTCATTTTTGTAAAAGCATCGACACTGACGAATATGCTCGAGTACAAGCTGCAACCAATTCCGACACTGAAGATACCGATAGTTTAGCAAGCGAAGAACACACTTCGCTTTAAATCATTCATTACGTGAAATGGTTATTTGTGTTTGAAGTGGCATTTCTGTTGACTTCTTTAAAAATGTGTTCACGGATTCTCCAAAAAGCAAAAATCCTATTTTTCTTACACGGATATTTATATACATATATATGCATATATATATATATAAACTACACTACGCTAATACTTAAATACATGTACTGCTTTTGTAGCACGACCAGTCTATTGTATAGTAGATGTTAATAACGAAAAGTAAATAAATCACTAAGATTATTAGGGTTCTCTTAGTCAGTATAACATTATTTACGTCGTAGTTAATATTGAATAATTACTTAATTCCGAAATTTTTTACTAGTATTTTTAGTCCAACGTCTAAACTAGTTAGTCTTCAAGAAATAGTTTATATAATGTCGTTATACATTTCGAAGTACATCTTTAGAAATACATTACAATTTGCAAAGCAGAAAGTATTATTAAATGTTCCACCATGATTTTTAATGGTTGCATATTTTGATCATACGTTAAAATAGTTAACATGTAGCGAAAACAGCCACTAGTCTTGTTATTTTACTAAATAATCAAACCGCGCTATAGATAGAAGAGGCAATGTCATTGATTATTTTCTTTTCACATTTACTGAATTATTTATTGATAATAAGACACATGACTTGACACATACTCAGTCACGACAGCGTATTTTGCAATCGAAATGTTCTGATACGATATCAAGGTCAAGAGAGTATTACTTGCATTGTCCCATACAGTCTATCAATAAAATTCTGAATGTATATAAATCTGTGAGAATAAAGTTCTCGTAAAAGTCGTAATATTCTCCAGAATCTATATTGGCAATAAAGAAAATTTTTTCTAGAAAATAAAGAGCTGATGGATTGATTTTATAGAAAATATAATTTACGATATTAAATTTAAAAATAAGATTCTTTCTTCTTTAATGCTTTTTAATCTATCAATTTACATTTCTTTTTTAGATTTTAATCTCACGTTAGCATTTTTTATAGAAAATAAGGACAATTTTATACCAGAACATATTTACTTTATAAGACAGAATAGATAAGTGTACAAAAAAAACGATAATATATGATAATATACTTTTAGTTTCACTCGATAAGAACTGATAAAAACTAATCTCATGGCGAAATTAGTTTCTTTTATTACCGTTATATGTCTTTCTCAACAATATAAGATATTTTTAGTGTATAATAATAAATATAATAACGCACACATTGCAGAATTATGAGCAAAAAAGAAAAAAACATAGATAACAGATTGAGGAACACTTGAGCAACCATGTAGCACTTCATGTAAATTCCTCTCCTTTTAGTATTGGTTTTCTTATTTTACATATTTGTAAACATATTGAGTAATGTTTTTGTGATTGACGTCATTCGTAATCTTTTTCGGGCGAAAAGCAGTACGGAAGCAGCAATCGAACACGGTACATGCGAACGCGGACATCATATATCGTGGATATCGTGAGTGAAAGAGAAGTTAACATTGAGAAATTTGATGATTCAATGAAAAATTCTTTGATAATGTACATACGTAGACATATACATATATAAGCGGATACGTTGTAAATAGAATGATTGTACGTTGTAAAGAATGTACCACAGCTAGCAGACTGTAGTTCAATCTGAGCAATATTGAGATCGCACACAAGCTGTCTTTACAAAGCATACAAAATGCTTCGTTTAGCAAGAAACAAGGTATTTAATTTGAAATTAATATATATTCAACGATTACGAAGATTTTATTTATTTTTGTAAAAAGATAAAAACCGTACATATTTCAATATGTCTTTTCATCACTTCAGTTACTTAAATGGGGTCTCGGAAATAATCGAACAGTCGCTACATTTAAAGAAAACGAGACAAAGAACATCGATGTTCCTAGCAATGCCGACGTTGTAATAATAGGTAACTAAGTTTATACCTGTAAAAACAAAACAAAGAACTGTATCAATCGGATTAACAGTTTAGATAATAATTGAATATTCTGTATATTGAATATTCCGTATTGTATATTAATTAAATTGAATTAATTTTTAACAATATCGTTTTTCGTATGTAGAGCCAAATAAATATCTTAACATTAATCGGTCTTAACGTTTATAGATATATATTAATATTTATTAACAAATTTAATAAAAATTTCCATGATAGGTGGTGGTAGCGCTGGTTGCAATGCACTTTATCAATTAGGAAAACGTGGAGTTAATGCAGTACTTTTGGAAAAATCTAAGCTTATATCTGGTACAACATGGCATACAGCAGGTCTCCTGTGGCATCTACGCGGAATATGCGACGTTGAGACGGAATTGATAAAAGCTTCGCGATTGCTTTACGCATCTTTACAAGAAGAAACAGGTATAAATCCAGGATGGATAAACAATGGTGGACTCTACATCGCTTATTCTCCTGTAAGTAGGAATATCTTCATGCAATTGATTTATCCATTTCTCGGAGAATATCTATTGTTTTTCATTATATCAATATCTATTGTTTTAGGAGCGAGTAGTCGACTACGAAAGATTAATTACTAGTTGTAAGAATTTTGGTATCGACGGGTACATGATTGATCCAGTCGAGGCGAAAGAAAAATTTCCCCTCATAGATAAAAATGCATTTCAAGCTGCGATGTATTGTCCAGCGGATGGTACGATAGATCCTGCCATGTTAGTAAATGCATTGAAAAAATCAGCGGAAAGAAACGGTTGTAAGGTATTTCTATCCATTTTCTTTATCGTCTGTTTCTACAACACACATATTTACATAATAAATTTAATTTTGTATTTCACAACAAATTTATTAATTATAGTTAGCAATTGGTAGAATTATTTGTTCAATGATGTATGTGTTTTATAAAAATGATTAAAACCAAAATAAAATGATGGTTAATTATTCATTGAAAACTAATCTAATTAAATATAATTTTTTAAGGTCATCGAAGATTGTCCGGTCACTAAAATTCTCGTAGAGGATATTGACGGACATAAAATCATTCGTGGAGTAGAAACGCCTCATGGTATAATAAAAACGGATGTTATACTAAATGCGGCAGGAGCATGGTCCGGAACAATAGCGCGAATGATAGGATTGGACATCCCATTAGTACCGATGAAACACGCATACATTGTTACTGAGCCGATGAACGTACGAGGGTTGCCAAATATTCGAGATCCCGATTTTAATATCTACTTTCGAGTGCAGGGTGGAAATATAAATATCGGAGGATACGAGCCTAATCCTATCATATTGAAATTTGTAAGTTGAATGTATGTTAAGATTAAACCTAATTGCTGTTATAGCAGAAATATGCGTAAACATGTAACAATTTAAATTCTACGTACTCTTGATTAATTCAAACGATATGTATTGACTAGCCGCCAGAAGACTTTTCCTTTAGTTTGTACGAGCTGAATTGGGATGTATTCAATACTCATATTGAAGCGATGAACCGTTTGATACCCACTTTAGCAACTGCTGGAATAAGGACAACTGTATGCGGCCCAGAAAGTTTCACTCCCGATCACAGACCTATCATGGGTACAAAATTTCATTAATTTACGATCGATGCTTGTGTGTGACATAGATACTTGAAATTTAAAACGATAATGTCCAAAAGGTGAAGATCCACGCTGCACAGGTCTTTATTATTCTTGCGGATATAATAGTGCCGGGATGATGTTTGGAGGTGGTTGTGGAGAACAAATAGCATTATGGATAATTAATGGACGACCGGACAAACACATGTTCAATCAGGACATCAGGCGGTAAAAATTTATTCAAATTATTTTTCTTCAAATCTTAATCTGTAGAACAATAACATAATTATTATTTACTTATCGAATTAACTTTTGTGTAAATGTACGAGTCATTACTTCATAATACGCTTTGTATTTCTTATATGTCGATATGTAAAATGTAAAATACAAAGTAGCAACATGACGAGCAGGTTCATTTTTATCAATATCTACAGTTAACGTTTTTGCATGTTTTTCTCAATCCAGATATATACCAGAACAAAAAAAAAATTCAATTTGGGTGAACGAACGGAGTCATGAAGCTTATGCAAAAAATTATAATATTGTTTTCTCACATGATGAACATTTAAGCGGTAGAAATTTGAAGACAGATCCTTTCCACAATGTAAGTTATACTTTATGTTAATTTAAGCTTTACTTTTCAATTAGATTGTACATCCTTTTTTTTT